ACGTAGGGATGTTATTGGAAGGGGATACTCGGCAATAAAGGAGCTTATACAAAAAGCATAAGTTAAGACAAAGGTGTCTGTGCCATAAAGTGTCCAATCGTAGGCGAATGCAACGTTCCATGTAGTTCAGAGTCGAGGAGCAACCAATCAGTTTTTTCGTGAAAAAACGCTGGGCATTCTCAATTTTAATTCGATCCGCTTTGGATAGGCCAGAAAAGATGATGGGATACGTAGGCAATTAGTATGATATTCCTTAGTTTTACGGATTTTGTAATCATACCAATTATCTGCCTTGCTTTAGCTGTTTAGAATGAAACTTGTTCAGAAAACTTAGTATGGTTTGGGTAGCGGAGACAAAGATCACGCACAGATGTGCTGGATGGAATAGGTGCGTTATTTAATATGAGGGATGCATGTGAGACTAGACATCTGTAGGTTGTGTAGAAGCGGATTAATGCTAAGAAGTCCATCAACCACAAGGAGAACCATTCGTCAAGTTGTTTTAGATCATTGTTAACGTTGTGTAATGTAGTTGCGAGATTTGGGAGGTAGAATTCGTAGACTATCTTTATATCACCCGCAAAAGGAAACGGAACACCATGGCGGTGACTGAAAATACATCATTGATGTAGAGTAGGCAAAGTAAGGGACAAAGTACACTTCCCTGTATGACACCACTGGTAACAGGAACGAGTTGTGATAGACGACCGTCGACGGATACTGCTTGGGTGTGGTTCGAGAGGTAGGAAGTCAACCAAGATAAAAGAGGACCACCGAAACCGTATGCCTTGAGTTTTGCAAGTAAACGAGAATAGGAAACACGGTCAAAGGCCTTGATCATGTCAAGATATATGACGATTACAGTCCTTCAGTTCTCGGCTGCCATGGTTAACATGTCAAAAAAAGGCATGCTGGCAAGTCGTGCATGATCGTGATTTTAAGAACCCATGCTGACCAGCATGTATAAGAGTATGGAAAAGTAGGAAAGCAGACATGCGCTGCTTAACCAGACGTTCCAGTATTCTAGAGGCAATAGGGGTGTGGTTAATCGGGCGATAATCAAAGGGGCCACTAAGTGGGCCGTTTTTATGTATGGGGATGATGAGGTCCAGCTTCCATTGAGATGGAAAGATGCCAATATCCAAGGACATGCTGAATAAATTTAATAACAAAGCGATATCAGTTCCATCGTAGTGATGGTGAAATGCCATCATGTCCAGGACCTGAAGATGGTTGCACCTTTGCAAGTATTTGGGTCACTTCTTTAAGTGTGAAATCCAGACGAGAGAGAATGTGTTCAGTGTAAGGTGGAATGTCGGGGGTGCTCATGACAATATCCGTAGTCAAGGATTTGGCGAAAAAGTTGTTAAGTGCCGCAGCTATCGCGTCGGGAGAAGTAATATGGGATTTATCGACAGATATAAGATATGGAACTCCGGTTGTCTTATGCTGAGTTCGTTTTTCGAGTAGCCGGTATATTTAAAGTGGTTTATTTGGACTATTCAACGCAGACAGTTCTTGTTTCAACAGAGTAACCTCTATTTTCAGCCTGATGCTCGCAGAAGTGCGGTGAAGATGTACGAGAACTGAGAAATCCTTAGTTTTTGAATGGGTCTTTTTTGCAGTCTCTTGAGAGAAGAAATGCGAACCGAAAGGGACGTGGTTTGGGTGATGGTGATTGACGTGAGACATGTTGAGAGATTAGATTAAAGCAGATCACTAGCTAGTGGGGAGCCATGTTGCGTGAAGTATTCGTCCCAAGCGTGGGAGCGAAGTATGTGTACAAGGCCTTCCATTGAAATTTCGTAAGAGAATTTTCAGAGGAACTTATTTCAAAGTGACCTAGGGGAGCTGTGGATGTATGGGATAGCATTTAATGATCACTACCGGGGAACACACCCGGAATACTTACTTTGGTTTCAGGTAGATTCAAGGTAAAAATTAAATCGAGAATATCGTTTTCTCTTATTGGAGATGATACATGTTGGAGCCAACGTCCAATGATAATGCAAGAAGTAAAGTCTAGTGAGTTTGCATGGGGAGATAAAGTTTTCTAGCAAATATCTGAGGCACCCTGGTGAGCTGACCGACCACGGGGTGGCTAAATCCAGATGTGGGCGTTTACGAAGAGGATGCCATGAAGTTGGGGAGGCAGATTTGGGTTTATTTGCAGGCGAAATGAATCCGCAGGGAGCGTTGGGTGATTTGGGCTGCCCGGTAAAGGGGAGGGATGGATTGGGCCGTTAAGACATGGTGGATTATTCTTCACAGATCTAGCAATCTCCCTCGGTAATGAAGTTCTATCGGGGAAGATTTTAATTTGCTTGTAGGAGGATTTATAAGAGATAATCAGTTGCTGAAACTTGAATTTAGAAGCTACCATTTTGTAGGAAAAATGAAATAAAAGCGAACAGTGGTTGCGTTGAGGATTCTTGAGCAATCGGGTGCAGAGACAGACGTAGTGCGCCATGTTGCAGGCCTTGAGAGTAGTACTTTTAACAGTTATAATAGGCATCCGGTCGGGTATAGTAAAAACAACAGAATTGTATGAATTCTTTTCACGTCTGAGAATTTCAGCCGCAAAAGTGTCAATGAACCTGCCGGATCTGAGAAGCCTAGGTTTATCTGGACACATGGATGGTTCAGTAATGTGTGCAATGGACGTAAGTTTGGCAATAAGGTCCCCCAGGGACGAAAACTGGGAATCTATCTCCTGCAACTTAAGATCAACAGTATCGGTTTTCATTCTAGCTTTGCCAAATAAGTCGGTTATAGTGACTGAGCACAGTTTTAGGGTTCAACCAGGTTGGTCACGTTAATATCTGATTTGTTTGGCAGAACGATTGATGTTAGCTGTCGTGCGTTTATTTGTAGTCTGATTGGAACGACGCTTACCAATAGACATTATACGTATTTTAGATTGATAGATTATCAATTAGCTTCACAGGCAGAGTCGAAATACTACAAAATGAGTATGGTAAGACAGCGAACTGATGATACACGATAACTAGTAATGAAACGTAGTGTATGGCGACTTTCAGTTTGTAAATGTGATCAAGGGTGACGTTATGTATCCAATATTGACAGGAACGAACAGTAATATCAATAAAAATACAAACACAGCACCACAATAACAAAAGTTTCAAAACGACCTTGAGAAACGTTCAATAGCAGGAACACACACAAACGTCAAAGAGCCGGTGCGTCTAAGCCATCGGGGGTATAAATGAAGGATTGCCCGGCCGCGTAGCATGCACCTGTAAATCATTGGAGCAGTTTGAGTATGATTGGTGAGGTTCTATTCCGAGACGATAACTTCGGATCTAAGCTGATTAAACCACAAGCCAAGGTGACGCCGCTGATAGAACGAGTACACCAACAAGGTGGCCACGGCGACCAAAGCAAAACGGATGCAGCCTTGTGACAGAGATACTGGTGGCCGAGGTTTCACGAAGACAATGTGGAGTTTTGCACGCAGTGCGAGATATGCGCAGCAATTAAGTGTGGACCGAAATACCCCAAGGCTCCATTAGAACCGATGTCCGTGAATAAACCAGGGAGTAGATTGGGGTAGATTTAACGGGTCCTCTCCACACAACGACATCAGGTAATCGTTGCTTGCTGGTGATGGTGGATTATTTCACCAAATGGTGCAAAGCTGTCCGGTTGAGAAATCAGGAAGCGACTACTGTGGCTGCAGGCATCGTTAACGAATGGATTTTTAGCTGCGGGGTCCCCTTAAGTATCCACTCCGACCAAGGGTCAGCTTTCGAAAGCCAACTACTGCAAGGGGTGTGCCAGTTGGTAAACATAAATAAAACTCGCACAAACCCGTATCACCAACAGGGAAATGGCTTAGTCAAGCGCGCGAACCGCACAATCAAAGGTATCCTGCAGACCTTCATGAAGAGGCACAAAGCGGACCGATGGGATGAACCATTACCAGGATGCATGCTGGCATACCGAGCTGCAGTTCATACATCTACAGGAATGACACCAGCGTATCTAATCTTTGGTCGTGAACTCAGCCTACAGACAGACGCCACAGCCCTAGTCGCACCCGCAGAAGTAGTATCAACACCACAGTTTACTCAACAACTACGTCAAAAGCTGCACACTGCCTACGAGTCGGACAATAGTGTAGACCCACCCGCACACCTGCGACAGAAACAACAATACGATCGGAGTTTGAACGGACCGTCATATGCCAAAGGGGATAAGGTTTGGCTGAACCGACCCAAGCCCCCGGTGGGCGCCTGTGCAAAGTTTCATCGCCCATGGCAGGGGCCGTACGAGATTGTATTCATACGCTCCCCAATGGTATACGTCATCCGAGACATATCTTCCGCCACCGATGATGTGTTAACGGTGCACAACAACCAACCGAAGCCTGCCGGCCGCCCACAACTTTCCGAATCACCGCAGTTCGTACCTCCAGGATGCGTCCCAATGGTAGAACGGACAGAGAAAGTACCCCAGGGGGTGGGGCAGGTGAACTATGTAAAAACGAGCAGTAAATACAGTGCTTTTGCGAAGAGGGGATAGTGCAATACTCTCGAAACTGTAACGGGGCATTTGAACAGACCGCGTGTAATTCCATATTCCTGTTGCTCTATATTCAGAAATGTTCAGACCTGGAAGATATTAACGAACACCAGGATGCAGTTTCTATCCCCAACAACACGAAACCGGCCGAATGTTTCACTGATTGTTCCCCCTCTCGGTTATGTGCACTTACTTTTTCGCTTACTGCGTGACAATACACGTGTCTTCCGGTGTCTCTGTCTTTTCGCCACGATTTCTTATCTGAGTGCGTGCGCTGTGCTGGTCTATTTTGACTCCCTATGTTTCGTTATAGCGAGCTTCTGAAGTTATCGATATCACGATACAGAACCTGCTACAGTTCAAACGTTTTCCTTCGAGCTGAAAATTTGGTCAGTCGAAGTCGAGACATTGCGATTCGCATTGAACATTGTTCGGATTGTCTTTACACCGACCGTATGGCGCCCACTTAGATGAAATCCTGGGCAGCGCTAGGCGCTCGTGATTATGCTCACTGTCGAATGGGATTTGCTGCTATCCCCGTCGACACGGTGACGCCGCGAAAAGGTGCCTTACACCGTGCACCTACACCCACAAATCGGGAAACCGATAAGCAGACCGACCCAGGCGACGACCGTGTCCGGCTCGCCACAACCAAGTCGCTTGTTATTCGTCACCGAGGGACATACTGGAATACGCTACCTGGTTGACACAAGCGTACAGGTCAGCGTCACACACCCTCGACCAGGTCAGGTTGCACAGGACTGAATATGGCCACGGCCAATCGGGCGTCCAGAATTCCTTCACTGATATACTTACTACGTGGACACCAGCTCTGCTGAAATAAATATGAGAAACAGGATCGCATCTCATCAAGTTGGCGGGTGAATTGTTAGACGTGAGCGTTCCATTGCGTCCACCAGTGAAAAAAAGAAATGGCATCCTAAACATTCGGCCCACTTACACTTCTCTACACTGCCAGAGATGGGAATATTTCCACATATCGCTTATCAATTGCAGTCTTAGAGGCCCGCACTGTTTGAAGGTTGACTATTTCCCTTGGGAAACTGGTTCCAACTATCGACTATCGTATTGCTGAAAACGGACTTCCGGATGGTAAGTCGA